ACCTGACTAATTATTTATTTATTTATTTTGAATTGGAGTCTCACTCTGTCGCCCAGACTGGAGTGCGGTGGCTCCCGGCCACCGCAGCCTCGACCTGCTGGGTTCCGGCGATCCTTCCACCTCAGCCTTCCAAGCAGCCGGAATTACAGGCATGCGCTACCACGCCCGGCTGATTTTTTGATTTATTGTAGAGATGAGGTCTCGCTGCCCAGGCGGGTCTCGAACCCGTGGGCTCAGGCAATCCACTCACCTCAGCCTCCCAAAGGCGCGGGATTACAGGCTGAGTCACCGAGCCTGGCTCATTTTTGATTTATTGTAGAGATGAGGTCTCGCCAAGTTGCCCAGGTGGGTCTTGAACCTGCGGGCTCAGGCAGTTCACTCACCTCGGACTCCCAAAGTGCTGGGATTACAGGCTGAGCTACCGAGCCCAGTCAGCCTGTCATCTTTGGATGGTAGCACCTGATGAGGCTAAGGCCTAGCACAGAACATTATGTATTGTGTTAGATGCATACATAGGTTGCATCGATGTGTCGAGTCTTAATATTTATTTGTTTTGTTCATAACATAAATATGCTTATTCTTTGTGCTTTTGTTTATTTATTTATTTTTTGAGTTGGAGTCTCACTCTGTCGCCCAGACTGGAGTGCAGTGGCCACTCCCAGCCACCGCAGCCTCGACCTGCTGGGCTCCGGCGATCCTTCCGTCTCAGCCTTCTGAGTAGCCGGAATTACAGGCATGCGCTACCACGCCCAGCTGATTTATTTATTGTAGAGATGAGGTCTCGCCTGCCCAGGCGGGTCTCGAACCCGCGGGCTCAGGCAATCACTCACCTCAGCCTCCCAAAGGCGCGGGATTACAGGCTGAGCCACCGAACCCGGCTTCTTTGTGCTTTTAGAGATGGGGTCTCGCTATGTTGCCCCTGCTGGCCTTGAACCCCTGGACTCAAGCCACCTTGGCCTCCTGAGTAGCTTATAGGCATGGGATGACAGGCATGAGCCACTGCACCTGCCTCTATATGCTTATTCTTTATTGACTGATTTTCTGAGTCAGGGTCTCACTGTGTCTCCCAGACAGGAATGCAAAATCATGACAATCACAGCTCATGGCAGCCTTAACCTCCTGGGCTCAGGTGACCCTTCCACCTCAGCCTCCTGAGTAGTTATAACTGTAGGCACACACCAGTATGCCCAGCTAATTTTTTGATTTTTTGTAGAGATGAGGTCTCACTATGTTGCCCAGACTGGTCTCAAACCCCTGGACTTAAGCAATCCCCCTGCCTTGGCCTCCCAAAGTGCTGGGATTACAAGCATGAGCCATAGTGTCCAGTCTATATGCCTATTCTTCATATAAGGTTTTTGTTGTCATTGGAGTCTCAGTCTGTTGCCCAGGCTGGAGTGCAGTGGCATAATCACGGCTCACCACAACCTTGACCTCCTGGGCTCAGGCCATCCTTCCGCCTCAGCCTCCTATATAAATTTGTTAATAATAATATGTTGAATAAAAATATTGGTTTTATTGTTTATTAACAATATTCATATATTTGGGCCAGATACAGTAGCTCATGCCTATAAACCCAGCACTTTTGGAGGCCAGTGCAGGAGGACTGCTTGAGGTCAGGAGTTCAAGACCAGTCTGGGCAATATAATGAGACTTCTTCTTTACCATACATAAAAATTAGCCAGGAGCTGAGCGCAGTGGCTCATGCCTGTAATCCCAGCACTTTGGGAGGCAGAGGTGAGAGGATTGCCTGACCCCAGGGGTTCGAGACCAGCCTGGGCAACTTGGCGAGACCTCATCTCTACAATAAAAATAAAAAATTGGCCGGGCTTGGTGGCTCAGCCTGTAATCCCAGCACTTTGGGAGGCCGAGGTGAGTAGATTGCCTGAACCCTCGGGTTCAAGACCCACCCAGGCAGCTTGGTGAGACCTCATCTCTACAATAAATCAAAAAATTAGCCAGGCGTGGTAGCA